AACTCCTCTCACTTGCTAATCATTTCCATGTGCCAATCAAGTGACAGGGGAGTTAGGGAGCAATGTCACATCCCATTCCATTTGCTGCATGTTCCTAGAGAACAAGATCACTAGAGGAGTTCAAGAAACCCTTTCTTGCCGAGGTCACAGGCGAAAAGAGACCCTCATACCCTCCTGAAAGCAAAGGCTCAGGTTACCTTGGAAGGCAGCTTGTCCTGCCCAGGAGTGGTGGTGGTTTGTGCAGAGGTCAAGGGAAGCAATCCTGGTGGGGGAGAGCTCTGGTCCCTTCCCAGTGCAGACACCTGCAGTGGGTGTTTTGTGACGTGCCACCCTCCTCCTGCACACAGCTCGCCTTGCCACTAATGGCAGATGTGTGTAAAATTCTCTGCCAGGTTGCAGCAGCATTATTTTTTAAACAGGTAGCTGCTTTTTCTGCCCATCACACTGCTGGGAAGGAACCCAGATGCCACCGTGTTCCCACTCATGCCAGCCCAAGCCATTCCTGCAGTAGCAGGGACAGCAGCCCATGAAATCACTCCAGGGGAACAGCCCTTTTCACGCCTCCAAGCATTTTTCAGGCAAAAAGTTGCTTTCTCCTTTTTTCTTTCCATTTCAGCTCAATCAAAAACACTTTTGTGTAAGCACAGCAGCTGCACTAGGCCTTGTTTTCAGTGTTTTGGGACCTGCTTGATTTTTGATGTTTTAATATTGCAAAAGCTGTTACAGAGGGGCACCTTCTGGTGACGTTACCTGCAGCTTATGGTACCTGGCGACAAAGGCTAATGCGCCCTGCCACAAAGTCTAAGATGAAGTCTGCAAAGTCTACAACTTACCCATTGCCTTTAATCCTGCAGATAATGGCATAACAAGATCCAGTGTCTGAGGGCTGAACCTAAACTATACACTTAGTTTGCCATTTCAGTGAAAGTAGTTACCGAGCAGGAACGGGGGGAGCAGAGCAGCCTCTCCCGCACTGGCAGGCGACATCAAGACCAGATGCATCTCTGGGAGACACGGCTGAGGTCAACCATAAATTAACAGGCTCACTGCGAGGGGAAAAAAAAAAAAAACCAAACCAACTGGGTCCAATTGCATGGTCTGGTATAAAGGAGGCCAGAGGAAATGGGCCAATGAGTCCTTTCTGCACCCATGAACTTTCTGAACCCTTCTTATCCGGAGGGGAAAAATGGCAAGGGCTCCCTTTGCCATGTTACCATGGCTGATTCTTAATCACTAGCAGGGCTGGCAGTAGCTCTTGTGCAACACCACTTTCCCCAGCGCTGGGCCCTGTTCCCCTGCAATGCTCCCAACCCCTGCTGGTCTCAGAAGAATTGAGCCCAAAGCTCCACATAGCAATTCAAATGCATCACCAGACATTAGGCCACCGGGTTAACCACTGTTTAATTTCGTCACATTTGTTTGTGAGTTATGTACGTGCCTTTCTTTTGTCAACATCTCCTTTTAGAAAGGATATTGATTTTGTTTTCAAAGGCTCTCGAAAATAAAATGAATGACTACATTCTAAGGAAGAGTCATTTTCTCAACAGCTGTAAATAATTTATTGTTCGCAACCCACCCAGATCAAAAGATACTTCATCAACTGATGTGGCAAAATCTGGTGCAAGCTGCATTTCTATTATCTCAGATCCAATTAACCATTTGGAGCAGACTAAAACATAACTAGATCAATCCAGAATCAGATTAATATCCAATCCATAATCACATTAATCACAATCTGTCCATAATTAGCCATCAGATAATCCCATTGGACAGGAGGTGACATGCAGTATCCCATTATCTCATTAATTATCTATTTTCAGTATCAGACATTGTGCCCAAACACAAGGAAATGTTTTTTAAAGGAAAAATGGATAGGGAGTTCTCCTTGTGCTGCATCCACCCCACTGAAGCCCCCAGTGGTTCAACGTTGGAGTTTTACAACATTTCTTTGTTTTTTCCATATTCTATTAGAACCAAGAGCTATTTTTTTTTTTGAGAGATGTCATCTTTTTAAATAAAATATGATTATCTTAGGAAGATGGATAAATAAAACATTTGTTTCATGTGAACAAGTTTATGAAAGAAAGAAAACCCTTCATCAAAGGTTTTAATGGTAACATGATAACAATAGCTTTGCAATGCTAAATCTTATTGCAGATGGTTCCTGTCCTTTTTTGTAATGTAAGTGAAATTGCGTTCCATCTGTTTTAATTTTATAATGGACTTAATCCATGGCTGGCTCTGAAAGAATCAGCATTTACTGCCTTTGCAATCTGCCGCAAACAAAAAAATTGTTACCGTTACCCCTTTCTAGAGGAACTCGTATTTCTATCTGGGAGCAGAAAGCAGAGCTGCCGTGTAGAGAGCGGGAAGTGCCGTTTGCCGGCTCACCCCACGGCTGCCCCTGCCAGCTCTCGCACCAAACCCAGCCAGAACTGCCCCAAAAGCCATTGGAAACTCCGAACACTGGGTGGAGGAGAGCACGGAGCAATCAGCGTGGCAGGAGAGAGACTGCATTTGGCTTTGACTAGTAAAGGCTTCCAGCAGTTCCAAGCGACCTGAAAGTAATTTTCCAGAGGTCCCTCCTGGCCTGATTTATTCTATGATTTTATGATGTGCTTTCCCTTACCTCCCCTCAGATGAACCAACAATTAACCTGTTTGCAAAACATGGGGGTATCAAGCTGCTTCAACGCCTCTTGTACCTGCACTCATTTTAAAGATTTTTGTACATCACATAGAGGAGCCTCAGGGTTTTCAACACTTCCCTGGCAGGCAATTTTTTGGGATTTTCTACTAAAGTGCCTTTGCTGCTCTGCCTGCTCTGTTCCTACCTGCCTGGCTGTGAAGGGAGTCCAGTCCAACCATACCTGCCTGCTGTCAGCACATTGCTGTGTACTGACACAGGTGTGCCTGCAGCACAGCTTTGTGCCAGTTTGGAGATGCTTGGCTGGCTCAGCTGTAACCTTTCTTTTTCCTAAGTTGGTGGGAGGTTTGGGAGAGCAGAGAGGATCCTGCCCTCGAGTGGGAAAAGGGTGATGCAACACGAAGCATCCCTGCCAAGCTGCTGTATTCTTAGACGTGTCTCATTCTCCTATCACTCTGACATTTTATTTTTTTGTTTTATTGTTAACACATGCAAATACTGACTCACTCAGGACTCTGTGGATTCCAGCTCAGGCTGAAGTCACCCATCTGTACCTTCTCTTCTGCCAGGTGCCCAGGCATGGGCAGGACAAACTGTGCTGCCCCACAGCCATGGCAGTGCTGTGGAGGTTCCCATCACCCATCCCACAGGGTCACTCCAGTTTGAAAAGCCAGCCAAAGTTTTCTCATTGCTTTCACCCCACTCACCTCCTGGTGCAGCTCAGCCACTGGCAAGGCAGGCAGCAGTCACACCACAACCCCTGACAGGCACCACGGCCACCCTGCCGCTGCCACACAGGCAGGGGACACACGGACCCCACCCTGCCCTGAGGATGTCATGGCTGCACTGCACCTCTGCACACGCAGGGATGCCAAAATCCCATGATGACACGTGTCCCTGCTGAAGTGGGTACCACAATTACCATCCTCTTTCCTCCCTCAGTTGTTGCACAAATTTCAAAGGTTTGCTTTCAACATTTGGGGTCCTCAAGGGGTAGCAGGAGCTGTGGTCAGGCTGGGGAGAGCAGGTCCAATAGTCCCAACACCAGTTATCAAAATCATCCTCTCCCCCTCCTCAGCTCCAGGGGTTTCATACCTTCAAAGTGCCTGACTCGTACAAGCGCTCTGGCTGGAAAACCCACCCTACCTCCCTCATCCAAGAAAAATGAGCCAACATTTAAAATCACCATGTCCTACCCAAGCCATACAGGTTGGTCTAGGCCTGTCAAATACCGTTTGTAAAATTAAGAAGGTGACTGACTATGCGGAGCAGAAGGACAGGGCTGAAGCCCCAAGACAGCAGCAATCTCAATTCCAGCATGTATAAGCTTTCCTGGACCTTTTGAGCCGCTCGTGCTGCTGTGCTGCGAAGTCTTTGGCAATTTAAAACCGAGTCAAAGGCCACTGAAGTGCTCTCCCTATTTTTCTGCTAATGCACAGGAAGCCCACGGAGACTGGGGGGAAAGAGAGAGCAGAAAAGAACAGAAGGGATAAAAAAGCAACAGAAGGGGTTAAGCTGCAGGAGCAGCACGGGATCAGGTGCATGAAAATGCAGTAAAATACTAAATTTTCTCCTGCTAATTTCAATTCATCACGGGGCTGCTGCCCGGGACGGTGGCCCCGACGATGCCATCGATCCCGTTGGGGTCCGTCGGGGTGCTTCTCCCGCACACGGCCCCCAGCGGGAAAGCGCTCCGCGGGCGCGCAGCCTCGAGCCGGCGGCGGAGCCCCTTCCCGTCTGCCGCGGCATGTCCCGCCGCGGCCATCCGCGGGCACCTGCCCGCTGCACGCCGAAACGGGGGGAAAAGGGACAACGAAATAAAAGGCAAAAGACAGGGCAAGGAAGAGGAAAAGGGAAATAAAAGCAGCAAATAAAAAGCGAACTAAAAGTCAAGAAGAATAACAGAGAAAACAGATGGGGGGGGGGGAAAGCTACAATGAATCTCCATCCCCTCGGCCGCCGATGCCGCCGTCCCCTCCGCGCACGGGGCCAGGTCGCGCCGTGCCGGGCGGTCGGAGGGTGCGGCGGGCGCGGGGCGCGGAGCAGCGCGTCCCGCGGCGCTCGGTCCCGCCCGCCCCGTCCGGGCCGGTCCCGCGGGGAGCGCGCCCCGCTCCGCGCCCATTGTTCGGCGCCGCCAATCCGCGGGCGCTGCCGCGGCCGCCAATCGCCTCCGGGGGCCGCGCGGTGAGGTCAGCGCCGCCCCCCGCCCGCGGCCGCTGCGCGCTGACATCACGGCCGGCCCGGCGGGGCGGGCCCGGGGGGGCGGGCGCGGCCCCCGCCCCGCGCCGCGCGGGTAGTGGTGGAGCGGCGGCGCCGCATCCCGCATCGCTGCCGGTGCGCAGGGGGCCGCCCGCATGGTGGACATCCTCCTCCCGCGGCCGCTCCCGGGCGCCATGGGGGAGCCCTCCAAGAGTAAGTGCGCGCAGCGCAGCGCAGCGCGGGGCCGGGGCGGGCGGGTGCGGCGGGGCGGGCGCGGGACGCTGCGGGTCGAGCCCCGCACCGCCGCTGCCGTCGGGTGGGCTGGCGGCCGCCGCACCGCCCCGCACCGCGGGCGCGCTGACAGCTCCGGGAAGGGTGCAGGCTCGGCCCGGGGCAACTCCGGTGCCGCTATTGCCGTTCGTGCCCGCGCTCCCCGGCCCCCCGGCCCCGTTTCTTACCGAATGCCTGTTCTTTCAGCTGTCCGCGCTGCTGAGCTCATTGCTTTCGGCTCTTTCCATTTCTTTCTCTGCTTCCCCCTCCTTTTTCTTTCTTCTCTCTTTCTCTGCCCGTGTTACCGATTCTCTTTCTTTATCTCTTTCGTGTTTCGGTTTGTCCTTTTTTGTTATTATTACTTCTCTTTCCGTTTTTGTTTATTTCTTTCTCTTTCTGTTCTTCTGGTTTGATTTCTTTCTGCTTCTTGGATTTCTTGCCTCTTACTGTTTTCATTTGTCCATGTTCCCGTTTTAATCACCTGGGTTTTAGCCGGTTTTGTTCCTTTCTATGATTCCGTTTTATTTTCTTTCCTTCTATCTTTCAGTTTTCTCTCAGCCTTTGTTTTATCGTTTCTGTGATTGCTTTTATTTTACTTTCCCGAAATTCTACTTTTCGTCTCTGTCCTTCTGCATTTATTTCCCTCCATCAAGTTTCTGTCTTTTTTAATTATTTCTGGCTGTATTTATTTCTCTCCTTTCGTGTTTCCATCCTTTCTGTCCGTGTTTCTGTCTTTATTTCCTTTTCTTCCTATTTTGGAAAAAACAAAACAAACCAAACCAAAACAGAGTAAGAAAAGAGGAAAAAGATTTTAAAAAAACCCCTCAAGTGCCTTTCCCTAATTGCTGGCGTCTGCCCTGGCACACGGCTGGCCCTGACCGTGCCCCGCTCGCTCCCGGCAGGGCGGCCGGGGCTGGCCCTGTGCGCGGGCTGCGGGGGCCGCATCCAGGACCCCTTCCTGCTGCGGGTGTCGCCGGACCTGGAGTGGCACGTCGCCTGCCTCAAGTGCGCCGAGTGCGGGCAGCCCCTGGACGAGACCTGCACATGCTTCCTGCGCGACGGCAAGGCCTACTGCAAGCGGGATTACAGCAGGTGACTCCGAATGCGCCAACGCTCGTTAGGAGGGAAAAAAAAAAAAAAAAAAAAAAAAGACCAAAAAAAGAGGCAAAAACCCCGAACCCGAAAAAGCACAAAAGCCCCTTAAAACCCCCGAATTTCCCCCAACGAAATTCTGACTCCCAGCCGCTGCCCGCCCCCGCGGCGCCGCCCGGAGTCGCCCTGACAGCGCGTCGCATCCCCGCAGGCTCTTCAGCATCAAGTGCGCCCAGTGCCGGGCGGCCTTCAGCAGCAGCGACCTGGTGATGCGCGCCCGCGACCACGTCTACCACCTGGAGTGCTTCCGCTGCGCCGCCTGCGGCCGCCAGCTCCTGCCTGGCGATCAGTTCTGCCTGCGGGAGCGCGACCTGCTCTGCCGCGCCGACCACGGGCCGCCCCCCGACGGCGCCGCCGCCCGCGGGCCGCGCAGCCCCGCGCTGCCGCCCGCCGCCGCGCACCTCGCAGGTACCGACTCCCCGTCGGGGCGGGCGGCGGGGCGGGGGAGGTGTCCGGGGGGCTGCAGGGGCCGGGCGGGCGGCGGCGCTGACGGTGCGCGTCCTCCTTGCCCGCCGCAGAGCCGGTGCCCGGGCGGCCGCCCGCCCCGCGGCCGCCGGCGCACAAGGCGGCAGAGAAGACCACCCGGGTGCGGACGGTGCTGAACGAGAAGCAGCTGCACACGCTGCGGACCTGTTACGCCGCCAACCCGCGCCCCGACGCCCTGATGAAGGAGCAGCTCGTGGAAATGACGGGGCTCAGTCCCCGCGTCATCCGCGTCTGGTTCCAGAACAAGCGCTGCAAGGACAAGAAAAAGTCCATCCTCATGAAGCAGCTCCAGCAGCAGCAGCACAGCGACAAGACGGTGAGCGCCCGCCCGCCCCGCCGGGGAAGGGAATTGGGGGTGGGAGTCCCGGGGCGGAGGGCTCGGGCGGCAGCCGCGCTGAATCCCCGTGTGCCCCGCAGAGCCTGCAGGGCCTCACCGGGACGCCGCTGGTGGCCGGCAGCCCCATCCGCCACGAGAGCGCCGTGCAGGGCAGCGCCGTGGAGGTCCAGACCTACCAGCCGCCCTGGAAGGCGCTCAGCGAGTTCGCCCTGCAGAGCGACCTGGAGCAGCCCGCCGCCTTCCAGCAGCTGGTGAGCCGCGCCGGGCCGCCCGTCGGGCCGCGGGGGGCGGGCGGGCGGAACCCCGGGCGCTGCGGGAGGGGGCCGGGGCAGGGGCGACCGCGCCGGGCCCTTACCGCCGCTACTCCCCCAGGTCTCCTTCTCCGAGTCCGGCTCCTTGGGCACCTCCTCCGGCAGCGACGTGACCTCGCTGTCCTCCCAGCTCCCCGACACCCCCAACAGCATGGTGCCCAGCCCGGCCGAGACGTGAGGCGGCCCGGCCGCCCGCCGCCGCGGGACCTCCGCATGCCTGCGCTCCCTGCATGAGACACCCGGCCCCGGGCCGCTCCCAGAGCGCCGGACAAACGCCTTTGTTTTTTAATTATTCTTATTTAAAAACAAACAAAAAATACGTTACTGACGGCCAAAAAAGCACCGGGATCCTCGCTGCCTTCACCAGACCGGAGAGAGAGTCCCCGCCCTGGTTATTTCGTTGTTTTGGGTTTTTTCCCTGCGGATTTCGATGTTTCTTTTTTCCCAAAGAAACGTGGATTTCCCCCCTGGAGCCCGGCACGGTGACAGGCCGCCTCGCCCGCCGCTTGCGCCGGAGACGGCTTTTCTTCCCTTTTTGGAAAAGGAAAAAAGAAACTACAAAAGGGGGAGAGACTCCCCCAGCGTGCGGACGCGGAGCCGGCCTGGCCGTCCCTCCGCGCCGTCCAGCCTCATCTCACGCCGATGCCTCTCCCGGGCCGCGGCGCCCGGCCCCGCACGATCGCTGGAAAAACGGGACACGGAAACGAGACTTTTTAACGGGAAAACCAGTACTAATAATGTTAAGTTATCAATGGACGGAGGACGGATTGTTTGCGCCTTTAACGATCAAAAGTAAGTTATTGTTATTTATTGTCAGAGTCAGCGGTTGAATAGTGGAATTAAGTATTTTGGACTTAATAAAAAAAAAAAAAAAGAGAAAAGGAAAGGACTGAAACGAAAAAAAACAAAGAAACCCCAAAACAAAAAAGGCGCGGAAGGGCGGCACAGAGGGGGCTCCCCGGGGTCGGGCGCGGACCGGGACGGAACGGGCACAGCCCCGACTTTTCCCGCACGGCCTCCCCGCACTGCGTTAATCGGCTTTCAGAACCGGGGCCGCTTATTTATAGCCGGGGAGGCGGAGCACAGGTTTCCCTTTCGGAGCAGCCCCCGCGCTCGGCCGGGTCGTGCCCGCACCTGCCGCGCTGCGAGGCCGCCTCGCCTCCTCCCCGGGGGTGACGGGGGCTTCCCCGGGGCGGCGGGGCGAGGCGAGCTGACCCCTCGAGCGTATCCATCCCCCCGTCCAGACTCAGGCGGCGGCTCCTTATCTGCCTCTGGCATCACCTGGGAGCGCGGCGGGGCCGCTCCCGCTCCCTCCCCGTTACCAGGGCGCGACCGCTGCGGACCGGCTCCCAGCGGGACCGCAGGCCCGGGCAGCTCCAGTCGCAGCAAGCTGCACCCCCCCCTTCCCATCCGCGGGCACCCGGGGAGAGCTGGGCCCTGACCGAGCCCTCCGGGCTGCAGGGGATGGGCAGCGCGGCGCCGGAGCGGCTGCACCACCCCGAGAGGCTGCAGGGACCGGGCCCTCCAGGCGAGCCGCCGTCGGGGCCGCCTCAGCCCGGGGCCGCTCTGCACCGCCGGGGCGGGCTGTGCCCCGGCCGGGCACAGGTGGGGAGGGGTCTGCCGCCCTCCCAGCCCCGCCGCGGGGCCCCCGCCATTACCTGGCTCCATCCTGGTCGCGCCGGGGCTCTCCGCGTTCTCCCGGGGCTGGGCCGGAGCGGGGCCGCAGCATCGCCTCAGGCGGCGCGCGGCCTCCCCTCATGAGGGCGGCGCGGGCGGGACCCGACTGCGGGCCGGGCAGGACTGGGCCGTGCGGCCGCCGCGGGAACGGCGCGGGGCTGCCGAGAAAGGGCTGTCCCGCTGCCCGTCCCGGTCCCGCTGCCCGTCCCGGTGTCCGCGGCCGCTCGGGATCGGCCCGGTCCCCGCCGCAGCGCGGGGCCCGCAGCGCCTCCCGCCCCCTCCCGCGGAAGCGATCGCTGCCCGGCCCGGTGCGCCGCTGGGCTTTGCTCCGCGGAAACTTCCCCGTTCAGAGCACATCCCTGGGTTAAAACAGTGTTATTAAAGTCTTGCCGAAAAGTAAAAAACGCACACGGTTTTAAAAAATCCGTATTAGGTGGCTTACTTACCCCAAATTACCAAAAAATTTTAAGCAAACTTTCCCCAGAGCCAAATCTGACGAATTCTTTTGATTAGATTCTGATTGACTTTTGATTAACGAGAAAGACCGCTTAAGGGGCTTTTTCTTTGCTCTCTCCGAGCCCCGTGTTGCTTATGGTAATTCAAACACACCAACATTTGTAATGCAGAAGTCACACCAGACAGAATAAGTTATTTTATTACAAGATATATAGAACATATTTTCTCTATTTGCAACCTTATTTCAGCAGTTCTGCAGTGCAAGTCCCACCACATCACAGGGCAGAAAACATCCAAATCATGACATCGGATACATGAACAAAATAAACTCAAATTATCAAAATTACAAAACAGAACTTGGAAGTATCTACAGTAGTTATGATATAAATAGTGCAAATTATATATCTACAGAATAAGTATTTAGAGTATCAAAACCGTTTCAGAACAGCCTTTTGAAGAAGGTAGTCAGCAGGAACTGGTCAGTGTGACGATGTTAGGGATTAAAAAACCAAATACAACACTTATTTTTTCAAGAAGAACTGCCGAGCTTCTTCCCAGGACTGCCGCGGGAATCTGTTGGACAGCTCAAGGTAATCTTGAGAACTGAAAAATTTTTCTGTTGAAGACAGAACATAAAATTACCAAGTTATTCCCTCTTAAGATAAGATGGCAATAAAACAGGAATAATGAACATGCAGCCAAACCTGAGATACTTTTACTCCCCTCCCCCTCCCGAAAATCTTCTCAGCCCGTGGGGTGACACGTCTGTGGAGCTTGGGACATGGAGGGCTGGCTTTAAGAAGGGGGGCAGAGGCTCTGGGTGAGCAAAGGCTTCCATTTGTAAGCTTTTGGATCAGGCTCCGCTTTACGCAGCGGAACATTACACAGCTTACAAACTCTATGTTCTTGGACCCGCTGGGGACCAGCTCAGCCTCGTTCAGCTCTGGGCAGCCTCAACGGTGTTTTCGGCTCAGCAGCTGGTTTTTTCCACGAAGGGCTGCGGAGGAGTCGTGCTCCCTGACTCCCAGAGCTCACAGCACAAGCACAAACGCAGCTTTCACTCCTGCGAGTGAACAGGACTGCACGTGTGTGCGCAGGTTTGTGGGTCTGAGCCTCCACACAGCAGCCAACAATGAAGTTTGTGCTTTCAGGTCGTATTCCCATCAGTGTTACTATTCCAGTTTGGTTTTTTGGGGACACCATCCTTCACATTCCGGTGATACAACAGATAAAAATAATCCCGCTTATACTATTATTGAGTCAACTTTTTTTGCAAGCGGGGAATGTTTAGAAACCACACTCACATGTCACCACACAGTCATCTTTCTTTAAAAGTTCATCCAGTCTGAATAGTGAAAATCAAAAGCAGTTTTCCACTTGGGTTTTAGATGTTCCTTGAGCAGATTCTCATGCAAACACAATCCTGGAAAGTTTGTGCTGCAGACACTGCCCAAGGCTGCTTCAGACTGAGAGGTATAATGTTGACAGTAAAAATCTCCATAAAGTTACATTAATTTCATGTGTTATAATTTATTTTTAAACGCAAAGTTTATGTTTTAGACCTAGAACCGCTCGTCTCTTGCCAAATGTTGGGCAAAATGGTGATGGATTTTTGCTTGCTATGAGGAAGAAACGGCTGTCCAAGCGAGGTACTTTATGCAAAATACAGCTACTCAAGAACAGATGCCCATCAGCACTTGAATTTCAGATGTGTTTAGCAAGTAACAGCCATCTCAGCTGAGAATATTTCAAATTTAGCCTAAAGAGATTAAATGCTTTTAAAATAATACTTTAATAACGGAGGGCAAAAAAAAAATCACAACTTTCCTGCAAACCGATGAACGTTAAAGAACGATTACAAGACAGTATTTTACAGATTTTTGGCTCCCCAGGTGTACTGGCATTGCTGCGTGGCTTCTGCAACCTGAAACTTTTGAAGGCAGCCTTTGTGACAGCTAATTAAATATGTGCAGGTACAGTATCACGTTTTAAGACATGATACCACACAGCATTTAATAAAGATTAACAGTCTGAATCCCTGATACGACGAGGAGAGGACTAGAAGACCTGTCAGGATGTAAGTCAGGGAGCCTCTCCCCGAGCTGTAAAATCATGCTGCAAGTTACTGTATTTCTTTTATCGTGAGGCAGACTCAAAAAAATTAAATCACAGTGAAATATAATATCTACATATTTTGTTAACCAACTGCTGCTCTTTTACACTGCATTGAACGTACCCCTCTGCTGAGATAACTGATTATCCATTTGGCCTGAGCTCTGTGCAAAATCCTATAGGGGAAAAAAAAAAAAAAAAAAGGCATCAGGTTTTCAGATCTTACACCTGAGAAATTAAAACATTTTAAAGTTTTCACAGTCACTCAAAAATACTAATACTTTATGAAAACTGTAAATTAACAAACTCTGGCTTGTTTGCTACATATAACTACAGAATACTGCCAGCACTTAAATTCTATAATATATAGGGTAGATTTTTATTCCTTTATTTATACTTGTTTTGGAAAAAAAAAATTAGTGCACAACAAAGAATCCAAGGCTTTAATATCTTCTTAGGAAACAGTTCTTACTGCGATTTTTATTTACCATAGCTGTGTCTCTGTAAAAGAAATGGTGTTTCAGATCTTTGCTCCTGACCCCAAACACACTCTTACAAAATTCAGGAATGATTGCAGTTTCAATGGCTGTGCTTCCCAGTGAGCCCGAGGTCCTCCTGATCTCTTGGGTGTGTGTGAAGTTCCTCCCCAGCGGGGGTAACCCCAGCCCGAGGTGTGGGATGAGCACCCAGAGCCTCGTGTGATCCCTGACTGCCAGCCCCGCAGTCAGCAAGGACACCGACCTCGCCGGCTGCCCCACCACAGATCCTATCTTTTGCTGGAGTATCCACCCAGCAGAACGCTGAAGAAGGTATTATCTGATAAGGGATACAATTTAGCAAATCGTGGATGCTCCTAAATGTTTTTTTTTTTTTTTAATTATCTCTAAAAGCCGAAGTAACAAAAATAGACGGGCTGATGCAAACTTCAGATGATGGAAATAAAAATCTGTTGGTAAGGAGGTAAAATCCAGCAACCCTTTGCCTTTGATTTTTGCTGCACACATTTAACACACTGTATTTAAGTGTTATATTCGTACACGCCACCAAACTTTTACGCAAACGGGACTTCTTTTAGCGTTCCCTGGCACAGGAAGAACCTCATTTTCTCGTCACGGGGGAACATTTTACAGTCTCTCCCAAACCTTCCACCGAAGCAAATGAGAGATCTGCTTGACAAACAGCAGCGAGCTGAAATAAAAGTAGAGAGGGAAGCCTCTTCTGCGTGTGCGGGATCCGAGCATTCCTCGGATCCTTCCAGAATCGCTCTCCGTGTACGCATGTGCAGCATTTGGGATTAGATTTTAACATGGGCAAAAAACTGAAGTAGCAGTGAAGTCAGCAAAGACAGGGTTCTTTATAGCATGCACAACTCTTCCATATTTTAATGTAACAACTTTTTTTAAAAGCCTGCAATAACAGTACATGGGCTTGACATCTGAGATGTACCTCTAACTGGAAATTAACGTTGTCCCTTGTAGATAAACTTACACTTTACCGTAGCTACTGAGGATTTTAATGCCATTCCATCTCTTATAGCACAGAAATCAAGCTAAAGATCCTGAATTATTCATACAGAGAATACTCTCCTCCACTCTCATGTTTTTTTGGCCAAAAAAACTGAA